AAAAAAAAAAAAAAAAAGAATCTGGGTTTTTGATGACTTTAATGAAGTGCTAAATCAACAAACTCTGAGCCTGCATATCTTTATTCTTATTATATGAGAAACTTAAATTCTTATTGTTTAAATTATTTTGCTTATGGCAGTCTGTTAAATATATACTTTTCATGTTGAACTTTTTTCTTTCCCTCTGTAGATAATCTTACCTGTAGTCATAGTATGCTACTGACATATTTATAGAAGTTTATAAAATGCTGTACTGAGCTTGATTAGATTAATCATTTTACTTTGTCAGGCAATTTACTTCCTCAGTAATATTGTTTCGAAGGACCACACTAAGGGCACCCCACAGAATTTTTCTCCTCCTACACTGCTGAATTGATACCAATGTACCAGTATTTTTCAACTGTAGTAGTATCCAAATGAGGCAATAAGAGGAAATGAGTGGAAGGTGTTGATGATACGATAGTCAATTCATGCTGCGGCTTCGAGCTGCCCCAGTGAACTGTGCGTCTTGACTGCTCATCAACATTTGATTGTGGTACGGTCACATTTCATTAGCTGCCTAGCTTGCAGTATAGTTTATTTGAATTAAATATTATGGCTACTCAAGCTTGTGAAATAAAAATGGAAATAAAAATGGGAAAAGAATAATTTGGTTCAATTTCTCAAAAATAAAATAGGATCAAGAATCTTTCGGTTGCATTTTAAAAACAAAAACACAGGTCATCTGCAATGGTTTTATTCTACTGGCATTGGTACTGAACACATTGCTGTCATATTTAATCTAAATACTACTTATTCCACAACCAGAAGCAAAAGCATATTAAAATCAATGTACTGGGCAGGCTATCATGTGAAGACAACGTTAATTTGAACCATTACTGATTATACTTTCAAGGACTGCTCATGATCCAAAACATTGCTCAAAATGCAAAGTATAAATGTTTGTTGAATGAAACTGACAAATGGAAGGCCGGTCCTGTGGACATTTCTATGGAGGATCACGGAGCAAAATGGCTTTCTTGGGAAAAGGAGTTCACCACTTAGTAAACAAAGCATGAGGATGGTGCAGGCCTGAGTACACAGAATTGCAGCCTGAGTCCCGGAGCATACTAGACACAAGTACATAGCCCAAGAGGATCTTGCACGAAGAATCAGATACTCGCTCCTGAAAGGTGCTATCAGGGCCTCCACATCATTAAGTGCCTAATCCTCAACTGATGCACTGTGGCAAGCAGGATGGGGCACTGACTTTTCCCTGCTGAGAAGGACACCAGTTCCAGGCAGTCTGGACAATAGAAGCCCACCATAGACCACTAAACTACTTCCTATAGAAACACTTTACATATTCTACCCAACCCAGCTGCACTTGGAAATTCACAAACACCCAATAATAAATGTACAAAGCTATAGACTGGCTTCTCTTCATTATATTTTGTGATTCTAACAATATCAGTTTGCTATGGATTGGAACAGGAACCTGTCTTCCATGCTCTATCACCCTGAATATGAGCTGAGTGATCTCAGTTAGACTATATTTTATATTTAAGATTTAAGGACACACTAGAATCTGTAGAATTTTTCTTTTTAAAATGGGTCTGTCCATTACTTAAGTATGAAAGAGAGGGGGAATTCACAAGGGGGAGGCATTGAAAAAATTTGAGCAGAGAATGATGTGAACTGATTACTGTGTCAAGAGACTGATAGTCTCGACAGTTACACAGAGGAAGGCCTGCCACAGGGACAGACTGGAGATAGACATTTAAGGAGGTGAGTCCCTAGGTCCTATATTAAAAGAACTTGTTTAACCCCAGAGAGCTGCTCTCAGGCAAAGGCCAGGGTAACTGTGGAATTAAATACTGACCTGACAAGTGAAACTGCACAAGCTTCAGGGCATACTTTATCTAGCTGAACGGTTCCCTAAAGTTCTACATGTGTTACTTCCCAGAGAGTTCTGTGATAATGCCAGAACCAAATTAGGATCAAATCCCACGTCCTACTACAAAGAGCCAATAAAGTATACAAGGGACATTGCTACGTTCCTGGTAACAAAATGCAAACAAACAAACAACAAAACTAACCAGGGCCATCACAGATACTTCCGTAGGCCAGCTACAGCTTAAATCTGGCTCTTCCCCAAGCCATGTGTCACTGAAGCTATGTCAGAGAAGGTGAATTTTTCTAATTTATACAAAGGCTGGATGAACTTGCCAAGTCATGACCCTTGGAAGGGGCTGCATCATCTGGAGGAGGCACCTTTTTCTAATTGCATGAATGTACCCTATGGGCCAGCTGTGACTTCATTCTGCATTTTATCGTTATCACTCACCAAACTAGAACACTTCAATGAGGATAAAGAATTTTCTTCTGCCCCCCAAATTTGGAGAACACATGACATACCTATAAAAAGGAGGTACAGTATATGCAGGCGAGTGCCTACATACTCAACGGGAGGGAGACTTGGAGGAAAAGGGGCCACGGCACGACCAGGCCACACTGGGAGTACTTTCTCTCTTTCTTGCTCGCTCTCTCTTTCTTATGCATGTGCACACACCTTCTGGCATTGAAGAAAAGGAAGCACATAGTACCAAGGCACTCCACGAGTGCAAAAAACGAGATGTTCCCTACTGACCTCAGGGGCCATCCAGAAGGGGGTGCCAACTGACGTGTTTCTCCGTAGGCGTGTACTGGTGAGTTGAGCCGACACACCTAGAAGAAAAGGGTATCAGAATTGAGCAAGGAGCAGAGGATGACACTAGAGAAGGGCTTGACAAACCTTTTCCACAAAGGGCCATAGAGTAAAGATTTTAGGCTTCACGGGTCACATGGTCTCTGTCACAGCTATTCAACTCTGCTGTCACAGTGCAAAAGCAGCTATAGAAAACACACAAGTAAGTGTGACTTCATTGGATAAAGTCAAGCGGGACAGACTCATTTCAAAGAAAAAAGAAAAATTTTACAGGTTCATCCCAATAAAACTTTATTTATGGATGCTAAAATTTGAATTTTAAATATTTTTCACTTGTCATAAAATATTGTTTTGGGTTTTTTCCCCCAATCATTTAAAAATGTAAAAACCATCCTAGCTCATCGGCCTTACAAAAATAGGAGGTGATTCATATTTGGCCCACAAACTAGTTTGCTAACCCCTGAGCTGGAGTGTTTAACTGTCTATCTAAATCATCAGAATATTTTTTTCTTTAATAAACATTACTGTCTAAGTCATTGCAAATTTAGAATCCAAAGAAAAATATCAACAGCTAGGATCAACCCAAAGTATCTTCCTATTATATTTCCAAATTATTTCAGATGCTCTTTTTCTTAATAAGATGTTTCAATTGATGGAGGAAGATTGGCATGTATTATCTATAAAGAATATCAGTGTAGAGGTAAAATGATCCCAGTGCCTCATCTTGCCTAAAAGCCTGGAAAACTTGCAAGAAAGCAGTGTGTCAAATTGGGAAAAAGAATTTACTAATAATATTATAATCTAGGACTGAATGCTGAGGACCTAAATTTTTACATAATTCAAATGCCCTTTAACCAACTCTCTTTTTAAATAATATTAAATAATAATTCACATTAAATAATAACGTGGAAGTAAAGATACAATGGATTAGGAGTTAGAAGACCTGTTTTTCATCCCAATTATACTTTTAATAATCTTGTGATCATCTCACCTTTGAGCTTAGTTTTCTCATTTTCTTTTGTTCATTCTTTTTTTTTTTTAATAGATTTTTGCAATAGGGCACATGTGTTTGCAGGAGAGACAGAGAGAGACAAAGAGACAGAAAGTGAGAAATCACTCCCCAAGGGGGATGGCCACATCACAATCCTTTCTCCTCCATTCTCCTCTCGGGATTTTGGGTGTGAACACACATATTCCCAGCATGCGTTTCAAACCTCCGGGCCTGGGACTTAAACTGTGGTCGGCCATGTGGGAGTCCAGTAATGTAACCATTACATCATCTGCTAGGCCCCAGTTTTCTCATTTTCAAACTGAGGATAATGATAGCCTTATGTCTAATAAACAGTTCTTCTTAAGGTCAAATAAGAGAACCAAGTTGAAAATTACGGATAAATTGCAAAGCACTTCACAAATGTAATATATTCTTTTAAGCCAAATCAAAGTCTAATAAAATCCTTAGGTGAATGACAAGAGTGCTGCTGAAGATGAGAACTTGGACATCTGATACTGTTTATTCATTAGCAACAGACATGCCTTTGACAACATCAGGTGTGGATTTGCCAAGAATCCATGGGTTGTTTTAGATGGGTGGTGATTGTGTTAACTGCTTGCACTCTTTATTAGACAGCAAAAAGGGCTCTCTGAACTCTTTAGGCCATGGATAATTTCCCACTTTTCCCAAGTCCTCCATTACAATTTTGATAAAAACAACTAAAACTATTTATTTTCTAGGTTTTGTTTTTTTGGTTTTTGTTTTTTTTTTTTTGTAACAATTTGAAGTTCGGGAATCTTCTGGAAAACACTAGGAACATTTACCCACATACCAATTCGGAAAGCTGGTGAGTAGATGAGTCAGTATTAACCCCTCATCCTCATCTCTCTAGGTTATTTCTCTCATGACATATTTATTGTTCCCAGGATCAGTTGGAAAATATGTCTAGTGTTATACACACAATATATTATTAGAGTTACATCATGTCTTATGTGAAGAGAGAATCATAAAACTGAACCCCTTCTGCTGTTTTTCTTTGTGTGCTCTTTAGTAAATAGACCAATACACCTAAAGTAACTTCACTTATTTTTTTCTGTGAAATACATTGCCTTTTTTTCTATATTTTTACTATTTTTATACTATCTCCTTAACATAATTATTTCACAACTATTTCCAGATTAATTTCACATTTTACATAAAGTCCCTATTTTTTAAACAGAGAACTTTACATTTTTTTTCTGTTAACTATTTCTTCCCTTTGCACCTCACACCCACCTTCTACCACCCCGTCTCTGCATTCCACTTCCCTCCCTTACAGTCTCTGGTATCTACGCCTACCTGTCTACTATCATATTTTCAGATCTTTCTATTTCTGCCATAGAATGCAGACATTGGGCACACACTGAGTGGGAATATACAGTGTGTATATCTTTCAAAGTCTGGCTCACTTTGCTCAACATTAAGTCTTCTATATTAATGCACTTTGAATCAACTTCGTTTCTTTTTAAGTAATTTTTCTGAGCAAATATTTCAGTGATACATTTTTAAATCAAATTATTTCTTACTAAAAATCAATGGTTATTCAAAATCATCCATCTTGTTTTTTACTATGACATTGGTAATATTTTAAAATGAGTTTCTCTAAAATGTTTTCTGGTTTTTGGACCAATGACCCTGAAACTGAACTCGTTTAGAACATTAAACCATTCAACAAACCTAAAAAGTAAAATCCAGTGGTTTGTTGATTTGTGAATACCAACATAGGAGTGCTGTGGGAGAACTTAATAGTTCTATGGCCTTAGGTTACATAGCACTGTGTTTCCTCTCACTCTTTCATTTCCTGTTAATGTTACCAGTTCAACCAACCTCACGTGTAGCAGCAATAATCACAATTTAAAGGGATGTTAGCTCCCAGGCCCAGAGGACTATTTTACCTTCTGCTCCCTGGGAATAAATATGCCTAAGGCTAGAGAAAGTAATTTGAACAACCAAACTGCTTCTTCTTTTCATATGCAAAAGAAGAAATGACAAAATGTAAATTATAGACAATTGCCCTGAGATGTGAAAGTCTTACCAGAAAACTATAGTTTTTCTGTCAAATTCTTCTTTTGAAACACTTTTTATTTTCTATCTTTAATAAAATTGCTTCTAAAGCTCAAAATAGATTAAAAAACAGCATCTCCTAGGGTGATCCATCTGGTAAACCCCCCACTCTCCAGCCTGCATTGACTGGAAAAGTCCTTCAGCCTGTAATGTAGCAGAGAGCCCCAGTCTTCTGAGACTGCAATAAATTGTCCCCTTTGGCTAAACTACACACATCAAGAAAACAAATGACAAGCAGTCATTACCAAAGTCAACGAGCTTAACTCCTCCTTCTGTTGTCAGGAGAATGTTATTCCCCTTCACATCACGGTGGATGATTCGGTTGTTGTGCAAATGCTGAAGCCCCTGCAAGGCGTCCCAGCACCATCGAACAGAAAAGAGAAAGGGGACATTTTCATGCTTGTTTTAAAGCGATTACCCTACTATTCAAAAGTCTAACCAATCAAAGTCCACATTTGGCTACATCTTCTTGCTGTTAATAATCCTTGAATATCATGCAGCAGTTTCACCATGTTATTATGCAATGGGGACCCAAGTAACAGAAAAACTGCCCCCCTGCTATCATCCCCAGCTTAATGGATATTCTTACCAAGAGGGCCCCATACAAGATGTATGAGATCATTGCTTCATCCAACCGCTGGCCGCACCTGAGTAGACCTTTGACAAGCTCAGTGACAGAGCCCCCGTTACACAGCTGCAAGAGGAGGTGCCAGACAGAGAGGAAGAAAAGAAAAACAAATTAAGAAAACCCCACTAGTTACTGATTCAATGTAGTAAAGTCAATTTGCAAATCACAAAATTTCACCATAGAATAATTAGACTTCATATCTCCATTGTCCAGTCAAATCTAGTTCTTTGTGTATGTGTATTCTTTACTCTAGGTAGTGATTTATAAGTGAAAGTATGCACTCAAAAAGTTGACTTTTTAAATCACCAAGCAAAATATAAAAGCACTAATTATTAGAACCAGCAGATGGCGTAATGGTTACATCACTGGACTCCCATGTAGTCAACTGCAGCTTGAGTCCCGGACCGGGCAGCTTCAAAATCACATCAGGCATGTGTGCTTGCATGCCCACGGTCCTGAGAGGAGAATAGAGGAGAAAGGATTGCAGTGTGACCATTGCTCCTGGGGTGGGGGAGGTGACTTCTCACCTCTGTCTCTCTGACCAGAGCATACACCCTCAAGAAAAAAAAAAAAAAAAAGCATGAGTTATTATTTAGAATTCAAAAAATTCTAAAGAAAAAGCATATAAGTAATTAGGGTGACTTAAATGGATGTTTTTTTTTACTTTATGTGAATATTGTCTGTTTTTTTCAAATGTTTATTTTGAAGATAACCACCAGAAGTGGCAAGATGGATGATGTTAGGGTCAATAAAGAACTCAGGAAGTGACAGTCTCACACAGATTTTATTCAGGCCAGCAGCTGTCAGGGTCAAAAGAGACACTTCAGCCCACCCTGCAAGAAGATGTTATGTCTTTATATGGAAAGGGTAGAGGGACAGGGTCACAAGAATGGTCGTGGCCACTTTGATTACAGTACTTGCCATTGTGATCTTATTGGCCCATCTGTGGGCTCAGCCTGAAACATAATGTGGGCTTTTTATTTTTTTGCCAGTAACAGAGGGTTCTGGTCAAAGGTAGTTGTAACCATTTCCTAATTTTCTAATGGGACATTCCCTAAAGGCCATTCAAGGATAGAGCTAACAGATGTCTTCAATACCTGAAAGCAAATAAATTTCAATGATTTCAAACATCTAGCCCCAGTGCTGGCACTGTAGGTGTCAGAAGCCCACCCAGTGACTCTAGAGTTGCCATTGCATGGAAAGTTTATGCAGGGAGCGTGCATTTAACCTTCTCATATTCAACTTTAGACTTTCAGCAACTTTTACGCTTCTCTTTTTCCTGTAATTAAAAACACTAGGATTATGTTTTGTGTATTTGCTCTTTGTTATATATTACACATAACAGATGTTTGTACATAAAACAAGTTTACTATTTTTTCTCAGCAAGGGTTTTCAAGGATAATTCTTACTAACTGTAGAAGTCAAAGTACAGGTTTGGATTTGCTATAAGTCTTAATTTTTTTTTTTTTTTTAAGACAAGGTTTTGCTAGTTGCCGTCCTCCTGCCTCAGTATTCTTAAACTGCTGAAATTACAGGCCATTTCACCACACTCAGACTTTAGGTTGGATCAGGAATCAAACCTGGGCCTCCCATGTGGTCCCATCCTGTGAAGCATAGCATCTGAACAGCAGGCACCACTGCAGCTGGACCCAGAGCCATCTCATATCAAGGCCTCTTAACTGTTTTAAGCAGAACATGTAAATACCCCAAACTTTAAGGCAGAATTTGTATACTCATCTCACATTTTGGGGGGAAGAAAAATCATAGCTTTCATCAGATTCTAAGAGCCATCCTAACCTTATAATGGTAAAAACCTCTATAAAGAGGTTTGTTTCCCCCTGGAGCTTTGTCTGCAATTTGGTTAAAAAAAAAAAAAAAAAAAGAATTAGTTGGACCAGCAGGTGGCATGGTGATTAAGGAACTGGACTCCCACATGGCCAACTGTAGTTTGAGTCTTGGACCTGGTGGCTTACTTTCTCATTTTCTCTTTCTCGCTCGCTCTCTCATGAGCACACGTGCTCTGTTGCAAAATTTAAGAAATAATAATGATAAATAAAATAATTCTTTAAAGAAAAAGAAGAATGAATTAGTGAACAGTGAGTAGTCCCCTTGGTTGTGGCTGCTTGAGTTGATCAGCTCTTCTTAAGGAAGAAAACCTAAGGGAGCAGACTAACAGCTTTCCTAAAGAAGGACAACTCTTTATCAAGATAATAATACATGTAGATCTAATCTACTCTAATTACAAACATCTGCAACATTCTAATAAAGGAGGGCAGACCTATTTATTTGATATGTGTATCATTCCCTGCCATAACTTAGCAGATACCTTACACATCAAGATAACCTGGAACTGACTCTGCCAATGTTTTCATCATTTAAACTGCTCATAAGCAACAGTACGTGACTAAAAATCTAATAAAGAATTAAGCAATCTTTAAAACTAGTGTAAGATAACTCTCTCTCTGGAATGATTTAGAAGGGACCCAAAAAGCTGTGACTGCATTGAAGACTATGGAAGTTAGGACTATACTAAGTGACCTTGATATCTTCTGTCAATTTCAGGTTTAACTTGCAATTCAGACAGCCTTAGGGTTGAGTGCCAGCACAATGTCTTCTTTTGATTCTAACTATGTTTTACATGACCCTGAAAGGACAAATGACATTCAGTGTTCAATCTGATAGTTTCCTGAGTAGTGAGTGTATTTTCAGTGCCATGACTCATAGAGCAGTCTTTTAAAAACTAGGCTGTCACAACATAAAATAATATTCCAGGCCTTCCCTAATTAGATTGTATGTATCAAGGAATAAAACTTAAAAATCGACCACAGAATCCACTGATAACCAGGGAAGAACTCAAGGCTTGAAATAAGGGAAGTTTTCATCCCACAAGAAAAACAGGATACCTTCTCGGGCTAGGGGCATAAAGCTTGGAGATACCGAGGGGAAACAATTATAGAGTGAAGGTTCTTCCTCAGGGAAGGAAGCATCCCTCTGTGTAAGGAGACAATAACAATTGATATTTCAATTTTTGATGATTTTTCAATTTCAAGGATAATTAAAATTGCCAATCTTTTCCAACTGGGAATCTAAGAGGAGCCCTCATGACAACAAGGGATGTATGTCCATGTCAAACAAAAGGCAAGATGACATGACAAGCAGATCATGCCTGAGATTACAGTAACAGTTCCATATGTATGGCCTGCTTAAAACTTGTGAGAGACACAGAGCTTTCTTTATCCCCATTTAGGAATAAGGATGAGGTTAGAGTTTAAATAAGAAGGATAAAGAGAGTGAGGGCCTCTTGATAGGAAGGAGTAACAGTGATTAGAGACACCAGAGATACCAAAAACAGAAGGTATCATTTTATCGTCATGAGGACTTGATGGTCATCACCCCTGACCTCACTGCCATGACTTTAAACATTTGCTTATACCCCAATCCAGATGCCACCAGGGGAGAAGGAAAAGGAACATGGAAAGAAGAGGCCCTGAAAAATTGACTACTTAGATGACTTAGTTTGGAACTAGACTGTGAAAATGGGGTCTAAACATTGGAACTGACACTTGAGCATCCTAGAAAAATGAACATAGGGACACTGAGTACAAAGATAGGGAGCATAAAAGAATGAAAAGTATGAGGTGTGTATGCATTGCAGAAACATGACTCCAAATACTGAGTGTGTGTGTGCACATGAATTCTAAATACTGTATGTGTGCACATAAATTCTAAATACTGTATGTGCGCACATGAATTCCAAAAACTGAGTGTGTATGTGCACACAAATTTCAAATACTCTGCTACTGTTGAGGCAAAGGGTTCCAGAACCCTAGGACAGGGAGATGGGGAAGGAAAGCAGGAGACAGAATGACAGGTGTACCCTCCTAAGGAGTGTAGGCTTTATTATTCTCCATTGTGACATGGGCAACAGATTGGAAGATGGACAAAAGAAGATAGCACTAGGAACCAGGGCATCCATTAGCAGATGTGGAAGCAATCTAGGGAGGCAAGGTCCAAAGATCAAGAGTCACAAGGAAAGAGCCAGCCCCATAGCCTGGTGGTTAAGGCATCCAGATCCCACATGGCCAGCCTCACGGTTTGAGTCTCAGACCCAGCAGCTTGAGAAACGTGCTACTTAGGCAAGCCCAAGATCCCAACAGGATGGAGAATGGAGACAAAGGTATTATGGCATGACCATTCTCCATGAGGGTGCTTTGTCCCTCTCCTTCTCGCTTTGTCTTTCTGTCTCTCTCTGGTAAGCACATGTGCCTCTGGCAACATTTTTTTAAAAATAGAGAGACAGAGTAATGAGGATGAAGAGGAGGAGATAGATTTGGGGAATTTTGAGATAAAACCGACAGGAATTTCTGATCAATTGGATGTGGAAGGGGAAGAAGTGACAGAGTCTAGGGATATTGTGAGAACAAGGGAAAGATCAATAAAGTTCATTGTCTCCAAAGCTAAAGCAATAACAGCACTGCAGGGCATGAAGCACCTTCCTCAGGACCACTCCCCAGCCTGGCGCACTACGGGAGGCACGCGTTCTTGAACTGCAAGTATGCTATTCAGATTCTACCAAGAGAAAACTTATATTAAATGCTGGGTGATGAGTCACACTAATGCAACCCTGGAATTTTCCCCTGAATCCTTGTTTTAGTCTCCCTGTTGCCCTACTTTAAGGGTTGCCACTTTTGTAACATGGGCCTCTTCAGCAATATTTTTTTTTTTTGGAGAGTTTTTTTTGCTATAGGGTGCGTGCGTTCGCCAGCCAGCCAGAGAGAGACAGACAAAAAGCGAGAAATCGCCTCCCAGGGGGGATGGCCAAGTCGCAATCCCTTCTCCTCCATTCTCCTCTCGGGATCTTGGGCATGCATGCACACGCGCCCGGCGTGTTTTAAGCCACCAGGTCTGGGACGCGAACCGCAGTCGGCTACGTGGGAGACCAGCGACATAGCCATTACACTAACTGCTGGTCCCAGCAATATTTTTTATAGGTATCCAGCATACAAACTTTCTCCATAACTCCAGAGCCTATGAGGGATTAAGAGCAGTTATTTGTCGGCAGGATCAAAACTCA